CATTTTGAACGCAGAATAATTTGCGAACGTATAAATCACCGATTTCAAACTTTTGCATTTCGTAAATATTAATAGTGACCAATCTGTTTGTATTTCAAAAAATTGTAACATGTTTCAATTAAATTAAAAAGAGAATAGTAAATAACTTAGTGTGTATTGCATTTCATGACATAAATGCTAGAAAGATGTATGTAAATGACATGCAAATTAATATGCAAATTTATGCTAATTAGGCCGCACACCAGCTATTTTGGATTGTGGAGAACACTGATGTTTAATGTATGTACCAAATTTGAACAAAATCCGTCCATGCATAACTGAGATCCGGGTCCGGAATGGTGAAAATGTGCGATTTTGATGCATTTTTGGCCTTAAAATGGTCGCTATTCGGCTATCGTTAATCGGATCATGAAAAAAATGCATGTGCATATGTCCCATATAATGTGTGATGTATGAGTGAAGTTTGAACTTATTCGGTCCATGCATGTTCGAGATACAGGTGATCACGGACGCACGGATGCACGGACGCACACAGGGCAAAACACAAGTCCCCATTTTCGGACTACGTTCGAACGGGGACTAACAAGCCATGGCATGCATGGCACAATCATCGTTAAGATATATAGTTTTGTTTATAGTAATATAGTTGGAACATAAACATGTCAGTGATATGGATCCAGTAGCTGATGCTAGTTTATGATGATTTTTCAACATCAAAATGATTCATGAAACATTCAGTTATTTTGTATCTGTAAGACAAGTAATTGTCCATATTGAGAAAATTATGTGTGATGTTTGAATGTAATCAGTTCAAGCATGTCTAAGATATAGATCTTGACGCACACATGAATGAATGGACACATGGACGCACATGTTACACATGTTAACCTCAGCCTACTTCAACTCATACAGTACATTTATCAATGTAATAAGATGAGTCTGTGACGACAATATTTACCTGTATTTCTTCAGCATCATCATATCTTATTAGTGCAACAGGTATGTTAATGTTGTCATAGTCACCAGCACTTTCATTTCCATGAGGTGTTACCTGAAATATAACACATTGTAATGATGTATTGAAAGAATGCTTAGTTACAACAATATTACAATCAACAGTGTTTTGAAAACTTTGCCAGTCAGATTTTGAATTTTTATCTTGTCAATTATCCACTGATACAAGTTATATAGTTAATTGTTTAAATAGTGAGCCGCCTGATTACAAAAAGTTTGAATCAAATAACAAGCCATGTGTGGCACA